AGAAATGAAATGAAAAGAACCAAAAATAATTGGCATACACAATATGGAGGTCAGGAATTATGCAAGTTGGAAAAATCAATAAAGCTTGTGTTTAATATAGTCTGAGTCTAAAGGCTTGATAACTTGGAGAGCTGAAGTTTAAAGGCAAGAGATGGGTATTCCAGCTCAAAGAGGGGATTTTCCACTTCCTTTTTGTTCTGTTATGGTCTTCAAAAGTTGCATGATGGTTGCCCCATTAGTGAGGGCGCATCTCCTTTGCTGAGTGTCCTGATTCAAATGCTAAGCTGATTGAAACATCCTAATAGACATACCCAACCAGTCAAATTTATGTAACAGTTAGCTATCATAGTTACGACATGGGCTGTGGTACATATCCAGGAGAATGTAAGCAAAGCTAAGTGACATGGAGGTGTGTTCAGTTTGCTCAGTGTTTTTAGTGAGCCAGCTTTCCTGTGCCTTCTCATTCGCATTCTTACTCAAGCATGCCATGAAAAGCAAATATCAGAAAAATGTTTCCCAGAAGATGGTCATTAGTGAATTACCTGCAGATAGTATCTCAGCTGATATAATGAGACTTACCATAGAAAATTAGTCACAATAAAGGCAACATATTAAAATCACTCTACAGGAGTGATCTGACTTTAATGCAAATTTTGAGAAAAAAAATTGACACAAAACGCTAGAGACAATATTACTGTATACCTATAAATATATCATATACAAAAGAATATTTCAATAAAGCCTATATTTTGCTATATGTTTATGACTTCTGTTCTATTGAGAGATCAATTTTTGATTATTTTAAAATATCTGATACTTGATCCAGTTTTTTATTCATCCAGGAATGCAATATCTCTCTTATTTTCTATCATAAGGATAACATGACAATGTGGTAGAGAGTCCTTGGGTCTTTTCCCTGCCTCCCTATCATTACATCCTTAATTCATGGGTCAAATAATGTACATAATTATATTGTAGCTAAGGTGATAAATAATTTCACACACACACACACACACACAGACAGAGACAGAGACAAGAAATTAAACAAAGGAGGATCCATGGAGAAATTAAGCCATCTGTAAGATCTACTAAAAATCAATTTATTAAGCCATCACATGAGCTAGAAGAGCACATCACTTTTCAAGAACATTGGTATCAAATTTCTTTGTCATAAATGTACCATTTCTTTATTGCAAGGTCTAAAGTCATATTAAAACAGGCGAACCCAGTTTATAATCTTCATAATTATCACTGCTATTCCTCACGGTAGAGTTACAGATACTTTACCACCCAGCAACTTAAAGTCCATGTGTCCCAATACCAATTGATTAGAAATAAATACTTTAAAAAGTACCATATACTTCTCACTAGGAATTACCACTTCACTTGCCAAGAACAATGAGGCTCCTATTGTGTGCTAGCAGATTTATATTTACTATCCAAAACACTGTCCTGAGTATCTGTTTTCTCGAATGACTTTGTATTGATGATTTAAGCCAGGTAAATTTAAAAACAGACTGGCAAAACCTAAAAGAAAGTTTTACATACCAATGTTTAGGAGAGCTAGAGCAATGAGAGTGATGTTAAAATGAGGCCGGCACCACGGCTCACTAGGCTAATCCTCCGCCTGCGGCGCCGGTACTCCGGGTTCTAGTCCCGATTGGGGCGCCGGATTCTGTCCTGGTTGCCCCTCTTCCAGGCCAGCTCTCTGCTATGGTCCGGGAGGGCAGTGGAGGATGGCCCAAGTGCTTGGGCCCTGCACCCCATGGGAGACCAGGAGAAGCACCTGGCTCCTGGCTTTGGATCTGTGCAGTGCGCCGGCCATAGCAGCCATTTGGGGGGTGAATCAGCAGATGAAAGACCTTTCTCTCTGTGTCTCTCACACTGTCTAACTCTGCCTGTCAAAAAAGAAAAAAGAAAAGAAAAGAAAAAAATGAAAGGTAGAAGTGGATGATAGAAATAAAATATAAAGCTCTGTGCTTTCCTAAAAACAAAGTATCCTTCGAGCAATCAATTAGAGGAAGTCTTGAAAAGGAACTTATTTTGCAATTTTTCCCTGCCCTTTCATTGTTCAAAATTTGTCCCAAATGTGGGTAACCTGACCACACTTCTGCTTGGCCTAATTTGTTCTACATGAAAGCTTATTGGTAAATGAAAGACACTTTCAGCATCAGCCACATTCAAGTGGCTCAGGTGAAGCAAGGAGGGGAGCTTGAGGGCAAGTGATGTTGCAAAGAATCTGAATCATGACATAAGGTGTTCACAACACTAACGTGGAGTAATCATAAAAACATAAGGCGTTTTGGCCGGCGCCACTGCTCACTAGGCTAATCCTCCGCCTTGAGGTGCCGGCACACCGGGTTCTAATCCCTGCCGGGGTGCCGGATTCTGTCCCGGTTGCCCCTCTTCCAGGCCAGCTCTCTGCTGTGGCCCGGGAGTGCAGTGGAGGATGGCCCAAGTGCTTGGGCCCTGCACCCCATGGGAGACCAGGAGAAGCACCTGGCTCCTGCCATCGGATCAGCGCGGTGCGCTGGCCGCAGCGCAACAGCCATGGTGGCCATGGGAGGGTGAACCAACGGCAAAGGAAGACCTTTCTCTCTGTCTCTCTCTCTCACTATCCACTCTGCCTGTCAAAAAAAAAAAAAAAATTAAAAAAAAAAAACATAAGGCGTTTTTATCTCCTAAATCCAGGTAGAAGTAAATCATTAAACCTGGTAGTCCCGCCAATAAGCATTGTGACGGTTTCAACAGGTTGCCTCGCAGCTGCACTCTGTTGTCCTCTGCCCTTCCGGTGGTGCCAGTGTTGCGCCCTGTCCACATGTCTTCTCGGCCAGATCACGCAAGAGAAACCACGCCACCTAAAGATGCCGCAGGAAGGCCGCAGGGCTGTAGAAGACGACCTTCTTTGGGTCTGGTGCACGTCTCTTCCTCAGCATGGTTGCTGGCAGTGTTCTTTCTGCGGGAGGCCAGTAGCACTCACCTCAGTAGTCCTAACAGACCTCTTCCACGCTGCTCACAAATTCCAGCGAGTTTCTTTACAGACTCAGGGACCCACTCCTTTTCTTCAAGCTATAACCCATGTACAGCATTCAGCAAGTTTTCTCTGACCTAGTGTATCGTTACCATGAAAAAACTCCAGCCTGCCGCTCAGAGAGTTTCGTAACAATCTACTACGGTCTTCTTGTGAACCAGCTCCCACACAACGGCACCATTCCCTTATTTCTCCACCACTCTCTCAGCCAGTCCTGTGGCTCCGATTCAGGCCGCCTGGATAGTTCTTCACCACCTCACTCGTTCTCCCGCCTGCTAGATTTGTCCCAGACCCTGGCCAGTCTTTTTGTCACCAGCAACCCATATATTCATGCCATAATGATGAATACTCGTCAAGTTTGGAATCTCAGGACCAGGAAGCTGAGAAGAGAGCCTCTCTTATTTTTTTTCCCCTTATTTACCCTTCATCAGTCCTGAGATATCCTTTCTTCATTTATAATTTCTGTTATGTTTACCCCATTCTCCTCCTTTCATTAGTTAAAATTTTTTAAAAGTTTTCTGTGTTCACATTCTTGTTATCCCTAATTGTGCCCGCCACAAATGTTATCTCGTTATTTAATTGCCGTTTGCGTTGAGTGTATATATTCATTAGGGTGCTTTCCCTCTTGGAGCTACCATGTCAATTTGAATGTGGCCAGGGAAAACTGCCATCCCTGGTAGCGTGGAGTAAGAAGTTGTAATGACTCAATAGAACTGCCTTAAACTCGCTAGGCTGGAATCATCAGATTCATGAAAACAGGCTTGGAGACTGGATATGTTTGCGTTGTGTACACATACTTCTGGAGAAAATGGCTTTGTGACATAGACATTTTATTTTGTGCCCTGACCATGTCTTCACAAGTTCTGCTTCTCTTCATCCCCAAGCTGACTCATTTCCCATCAGAGAAAACATTACACACAAGCTGTTTAATTCCAGTATTGCTATTTCTTAGAGGAAGTAATATTTCCAAGGTGCTAAGAGAGCTGTTCTGAAATTAAAGCTGTGAAAGTAAATATTCACCTTCAAAGAGGGCTGATCATGGACATGATGTTTAAAATGGTTGCCTTAAATTCTGCAACACCACTCCAGTGATGTACTTTCTAGGTGAAATGTTGAGATTTAGTTAGCAGAAGTCTGACAGTGTGGAGGATGGTGAATATTTGTACTCTTATTTTTTTTTCTAAATATCTTAGCTAACATTTTTTCTTAAAGCAAGATCAACTATTCATATGTTGCAGTACTACTAATATTACATTTTGCTTGGTATGTGGAAATGAAATTCCCTAGATATCATTTTACAAGTACTGATTCTGCAAAATGCAGTAATTTAGGTTTCATTTATTTTATAGGACACATAATATGCTGAAATCGCATTATATAGAAATATAGTTCATTTAAATATAAAATTTCCTAGGAAAGCAAAATTATCTACATTATCCACTAAATTTCTTCCCCTCTAAACTAATGTTATAATTAATCTTCAAATAATTTTAGAGTAACAACTATGGTTCCAAATACTTTGCAGTAATACACATAATTTTATTATATTAGAATTTTCCACCAATTTTCTGAAAGAGGAAATAATTCTACTTTCTAGAATGAAATAATATGAGAATGAAATTAGATAATATATCCGTAAATGCTTTTTGGATGTGAATGTTAGTGTTTTGTGTACAAAATTAACTAAAGCATTACCCTTTCTCAAATTATAGATATATTTCATTGCTGTGTTCAATAATTTTCTTTGATTTATATTCTGGGAGAAAATAAAACTGTATACTATGTGCAGATATGCGAACTAGATCCAACACAATACTTTCTGAAGGTTTTCATTTAAAAACTCGCTGTGTTTTTCAGCTCTTGGTTTCTTTTTTTTTTTTTTCTTGACTTTTATTTAATGAATATAAATTTCCAAAGTACAGCTTATGGATTACAATGGCTTCCCCCCCATAACTTCCCTCCCATCCGAAACCCTCCTCTTTCCCACTCCCTCTCCCCTTCCATTACATCAAGATTCATTTTCAATTCTCTTTATATACAGAAGATCGATTTAGTATATATTAAGTAAAGATTTCAACAGTTTGCACCCACACAGAAACACAAGTGAAAAATACTGTTTGAGTACTAGTTATAGCATTAATTCACGTAGTACAACACATTAAGGGTAGAGATACTACATGAGTAGTAAGAGCACAGTGACTTCTGTTGTGGACTTAACAAATTGACACTTTTGTTTATGGCATCAGTAATCACCCTAGGCTCTTGTCATGAGTTGCCAAGGCTATGAAAGCCTTTTGAGTTTGCCGACTCTGATCGTATTTAGACAAGGTCCTAGTCAAAGTGGAAGTTCTCTCCTCCCTTCAGCAGCTCTTGGTTTCTAAATCCATCCAGATATCCGCTAATGGAAGCAACTTTAGTTATTTCACTTGAAAGGGCACATGTAAAAACAACCCTGTGAAAAAATAGAATTTTGGAACAAAATGTTACAAAGCACATGAAAAACCAAAGCAAGCGATATTTTAAATATTTTTTTCTTCATAACCCAAATAGATTAAAAAACCAAGTGACCTTATAACTTCAAAGGAAAATATATATTAAAAATTAGTAGCACATAATTGAAAGATGGAGGAAAACAGGTGAATTTAGACAATATCAAGAGGGAAATATTTAATATGGTGTTTATGTGCCTACTCCCCCATAGCCTGTTAACAGTGTATTTTACACCAGATAGACTAAAATGAAGGAGGTCCCAATAAGAAAACTATAGACTTGGGGCTGGCGCTGTGGCACAGTGGGTTAACGCCCTGGCCTGAAGCACCAGCGTCCCTTGTGGGTGCCAGTTCTGGTCCCCGCTGCTCCGCTTTTGATCCAGCTCTCTGCTGTGGCCTCGGGGGGGGGGGGGGCAATGACGGATGGCCTAGGTAGTTGGGCCCCAGTACCCACATAGCAGACCCGGAGGAAGCTCCTGGCTCCTGGCTCCTGGCTCCTGGCTTCTGATCAGCTCAGCTCAGCTCAGCTCCGACCGTTGCAGCCATCTAGAGAGTGGGCCATCAGATGGAAGACCTCTCTCTCTCTGCCTCTCCTTCTCTCTCTGTGTAACTCTGACTTTAAGTAGATAAATAAATAAATCTTTAAAAAAAAAAAAAAAGAAAGAAAACTATACACTTTGTGTGAGTTCAGTGCCCCAATTGGTTCATAGCCTTAGTAAACACTATTGTTTTTATCCTCATCTCCATTTTCAACTCCTCTTTGTTAAAAGCCATCTAATTTTGTTCAGATATTGCCCCACGATCCAGGAGAAGATGACCCCATTTGAAATTTCAGGAGTTAGACTATGATTTCTGTACATCAAACATACATCAATTTCCAATTAACAATCACATTTTTAAAAAGATGATCAGAAATAATACAAGCTAAAGTCTTTATCAACAAGCTGCCCTTAGTCTTTTTTCTTACCTAGAGCCATAGAAAATCAGAGTTTCTTTGAATGCAACATAAGTTGTCTCAGTGTGATGTGAACTCTGAAATTGCCACCACTCCTTTTCAACTGTGGATTAAATTTTAACTTAGATAAGCTAGACCTGCACCCACCCCCACCTTTGAATGTCTGTATTTTTTTCTGAACAATGAATGTCCTCTGGTTTAATGCAGTTTGAGCTGGGTTTTCTCTCACTGTAAGGAATATATATTAGCAACATTTATTCTTTTGACTCTCATAATGCCATATTTTATCCACTTAAATAAAAACGTGATATTTTGAATTGTATTATGGACAAAAGTCATTGTATTTGATAATATCTTTGATTAAACATAATTACATATTTTTTAGAAAACATAAATATATACTCACAGAGCCAGGAATAGCTGTAGCAAGTGTCTTCATCTCTTATAAGGCCAGTGCTGAGTGAGATTTCATGGAACTAAAAATAACTAAGACATGTCTTTCACAAGCCAATTAGCAGTTAAATTAAATAGATAAAATACGATGTATAAACAACAGACTTGATCTTAATGTATGGGGTACAAAAAGAGTGAAAGCTTTGAAAATAAACATCTCAACTTATGAAAGGTTTTGATGAATTAATATCAGAGATATTGATGAAAGGAGGAAGGAACTGGAGGGAATCACAAGTGTTAGGTAGGATAAAATGAGTGCCTGGTCTTTGGCAAGGCAGCAAGTATTGAGAGCTGTGGATGGATTTGTTGATTGACTGCTTCGCATTGTGTGAGAGATGGAGACTTCCAAGACGACCTCAAATTTGTATCACTACATGACAGATACAGGCACTAAATTGAATATGATGTATAAAGCAAAGAATGATTTGTGCTTGTGGCTGATGATTATGAACGTGCATTTAATACTATTTTAGAGCCCCTTTAAAAATTCAGGTAACACTGTCAGGTAGAAATTGGAGATCAGGACCTAGAGCTGAAAAGATGGTGCTTAAAATAACTATGCAAAAATCACTGATATCCATGGTTTAAAATTGTGAGTTCACATGAAAAGCACTTGGCCATTCTGAAAATGGAAGAGGGAAATATAAAACTCTCCACATGTTGACATTTCTGTGCTCTGTCGCAGGAAGCAGATTCAGAAACAGAAAACTCAGAAACCGTTGACAGAAAATCAGTAAGAAAGCCAGGATGAATTGCTCATTTCCTTTGGTCAGTTTCCAGAGCACCCAAGGTTGTTCAATGTTACATTTGTTGGGGGTAGGGGAGGGGGTACCACTAACAATGTCAACCACTGTTGCCAGAAACACCAGCTCCGAATTCCAGATGTGGCCCTCCGGATCTGGCATGGAGGTGAAACCCGACTCTGTGTCTTGCCTGGTTTCTTCCTCACCTCCACACTTTTGGTAGCACCTGCTCCCACTCTTTTGCTCCTCAAGTTTTTATTAATTTTTTTATAGGTTCAAGGAGCTCATTTAGAAAGGGTCAGTGACTGTAGGTAGCAACTCTCTTGCGGGTTCAGTTCTGTGCCTCCAGACAATGTGGGGATGCGTTACTCTGCACACTTTAGACTTGCTATGGCTTGGCACGGGCCACTAGGGTTTGAATATGTTTCTCTTCATCAAGACTCATTTGGGGACTTGATCCCAACAGGAAGATGCTTGGAAGTGGCATGAACTTTAAGAGGTGTTTGGTGTCATTGGCATTTGCCTCAATGAATGGATTACTAATCTTTTTTGTACTGATGAGGGACTTCAGCCCTCTTTTTCACTCTTTTCATCAGGGACCAGATTGCTACTCTTGCATGTGCTCCTATCATGGTCATCATCCTCCATGTTTTCAACCATGAACCCCTCCCCCAGAAGCCAAGCAGATGCTAGCACCATGCTCCTGGACATCCAAACTATGACTCAGCATAAGCATCTTTTCTATATAAGTTACCCAGTATCTGGCATTCTGTCATAGGAACAGAAAGCAGACTGAAACCGACTATTCCATTGAGTTGGAGCCACATGTATTTTTTCCTTTAAGCTTTGAGTGGTTTCCATGGAAGTCTGTCCCCTGGCTTGAATTGAAATTCTGGTGCCTACTAAAACCTTTCCTTTGTTGTGAGCGGCTTACTCACTCATCTGTCTTTCAGATCTACTCTGCTGATGCAGTTAGCTTTAGGCTGCTAATTTTAATTGCTAAATGATATTCCTTATGTGACTACATGGTGTGTTATTTATCCGATACTCTGAAAATGCATCTTTTTAAATCTGATTATGCTATCAGAAAAGACTATTCAGTGATTTACCACCAAAGATTAATTTGCCTTAAAATAATATTAATGATCATTTTCTGGTATCAGGATTTATGATTTATATAAAATAAAGTATAATTACTGAGTTTAGAAGTCATTTGTGAAATAACCACAGTAATCCAAATCTGAGCATGTTAATCCATAAACTGTAGACTGCAGTAAGGAGTAAAATGTAATACATAAATCGAAGATAACTGTGACATAAAATCCATACAGAATAACAACTATATTTCTTTACATTTTAGTTATGTATTTGAGAGGCAGAGACACACAGGGGTTTGAGAGAGACAAAGATACAGACAGAGAATCCCATTCACAGGCAAATTCCCCAAAAGCCCACAATAGCTGTGCCAAGGACAAAGCCTGGAGTGAGCTGAGAATTCAATCCAGGTCACCCATTTGGGTAGCAGGAGCCCAATTACTTGAGCCATCATTCATCTGTTTCCATGGTCTGCATTAGCAGGAAGCTGGAGTCAGGAGCCAGAAATTGAAGTGAACCTAAGTATTCTGATAAACAATGCAGTCATCTTAATATCAACAGCACTTTTAAAAACCATATATGCATAAAATTATTTTGTCTATATACAGTGTAGTGTTACCATCTTCATGTAAAATGAGAAAGCTAAGGCAAAAATGTATACATTTTGTTAATTAAAATAATTTTTTTCTATTTAATACATCAAGACAGAGAAAGAAGGAGGCACAGAGAGAGCTATCTTCCATATGTCTGAAATAGAAAATTCTCCCTCAAATGACCACAATAGCCAGGGCTAAGCCAGACCAAATTCAGCAGCCCAGGGCTCAATGCATGTCTCTTACATGGGTGGCAGCTACCCAAATCCTGCTGCCTGTCAATGTACATATTGGCAACAAATTGGAATTGGGAATGAACCAATGCAAGGGATCCTGAGTAGCTCAAATTTTGGCAATTTTAATCAATTTTTGGACTTTGTATTTAAATCCTGACATTTAGAATCAAGACTCCCTACTCTAATCCAAATCAAATATTGAGAATGCTGGATTGTCAGATAATGGTATGTTGAAAGTGCTATTTCATCAATACCACAGTGAAATACAACTTTAAATGCAGAAATTCTAAGATGCATAAGGGAAGATAAAATAAATCTCATCTGCTTGTAAGAGGAATAGTATACATATCTCAAACTGTACATTTTAAGAATTGCATTAGGATAATCCACAGTAACTCTAAAAAAAAAGTTCCCATCCTCATGGATTCAATCAATTTTGTATTTTATGATAAGTCTCTATAAAAATAATTCCCTTGCTAGATGATGATTATTGATAAAACCAATTTATCATGACAATATTACGCAGTGCAAAAGATCAGAGCAATTATATGGAAGTTCAGGTATGTAGACCAAAAAAGTAAAGTATGTTCAGAACAAGAAATCAAAAAATTAAATAACCAATTTGAAATCTGATTAATCTCAGGTCTTTTGTCCATTTTTAAATTGTATCAGCTTGGCCAGTGCCGCGGCTCAATAGGCTAATCCTTCACCTGCAGCGCCGGTACACCAGGTTCTAGTCCCAGTTGGGGCACCAGATTCTGTCCTAGTCGCTCCTCTTCCTGTCCAGCTCTCTGCTGTGGTCCGGGAGTGCAGTGGAGGATGGCCCAAGTGCTTGGGCCCTGCACCCCATGGGAGACCAGGAGAAGTACCTGGCTCTGGGCTTCGGATCGGTGCAGTGCGCCGGCCGTGGCAGCCATTGGAGGGTGAACCAATGGCAAAGGAAGACCTTTCTCTCTGTCTCTCTCTCTCTCTCTCTCTCTCTCACTGTCCACTCTGCCTGTCAAAAAAAAAAAAAAAAAAAGATTTAAATTGTATCAGCTTTTTGCTGTTGAATTGTTTGAATGCCTTAGATAGTCTGCATATTAACCCTTTGTAAGATGCACAGTTTGGAAACATGTTCACATTCTGTATCTTGGCCATTCATTCTGCTGATTGCTTTCTTTGTGAGATAGAAGATTCTTAGTTTGAAGCAATCCCATTCATCTATTTTTGCTTTTGTTGTTGCTTTTCCAGTCTTACGCAGAAATCCTTAACCTGACTAATGTCCAAGATTTCCCGAGTGTGTGCTCTAATAGTTTCAGTGTTTGAGACTGTATATTTAAGTATTTAAACCATTTTGAGTTTTTGTGTGTGTGAGTTAGATACGATGGGGAGGGGATATAGTTATAGTTTCATTCTTCATCATATGGACATCTAGTTTCTCTAGCACCATTTATTGAAGACATTGGCCTTTTTCCCATGTGGGTTCTTGGGGCTTATATTTAAAATCTGCTGCTACTATTGATTTCTGGGTTTTGTATCTGGGTTTTGTATGATTGTAGCTTCTTTTGCTTATTACAGCTTTGTCGTATATTTTGAGTTCAGACAGTGTCATGCCTCTAGCGTTATCCTTTCTGCCCAAGGTTGTGTTGTCCATTTAGGGTCTGTTGTGGTTTCTTAGGAATTTCCAGCTTGAATTCCCTCTTTCTGTGAAGAATGCCATTAGAATTTTAATGGGAATTGAATTGAAATTATAGATTGTTTGAGGTAATAGGACATCTACTAATATTAATTCTTCAAGTTCATAAAAAAGATGTCTTTTCATTTATAGTCTCTTCAATTTCTTTCAACTAAATTTTATAGTTTTCAATGTAAAGATATTTCACCTCCTCTGAGTTTATTCCTTAGAATTGTATTACTTTTGTGACAATTGTAATTTTTAAAAATTCTTTTTCAGATAG